TGATGGCGGTACTACTAATGTGCCTTATATAGGTGTGCTTGACCGACACTAGGACGTATGATTAATTTGGGATTACTGTATATATGTATATATCCTATTTATATTAGTTTGGTTGTTTTACTTATATACTCTTGTTATATATATGTATAATATGTTTCTTCCATTAATCATGTACCTTTTAGTAACTTAATTTTAGTTACTAGTAGTAGTAATTCCACACAGTATGACAATCATAGCGAGTTGTTATAGTAACAAGGCCAAATGCTATGTATGTTGCATTATGCTATAAGTTTTAGGATTTATATACTTTTAAGATGGTTATTTATAACTAATTATACAAAATCAATTATAAATAACCAATTTTAATCGATTTTAAAAGTAAGTTTTTAAAATTGAATCTCATTTCATTTTAAAAGTTCTTACATACTAAATTGAATATTTTGAAATCAGATAAACAATTGATTTCAAAAGGTTAATTTTAACCAATTTTAAAACCCTCTGTTCCACTAATGCATGGTGTGACCCTATAAAATACTTTATTTGAAGATGGTGAAAGTGCAAATACATTTTGTGCTTTTTACCTAATCGAGGTTGAAGAAACTTATCCAATGTTTTCTACTAATTGCTTTTAGTCTTAAATATTTAGGGTTGTTTTTTGGTAATATTTATGTTATTTGTACCAATAACTTGTTTATGGACGAGTGCTCAGAGTAGTCGCTCTAATCTTCAACCTATATGCCAATGACTTTGTTTCTCAAGAAATTTGCATAGGAGAAGATCCTGAATTTCAAACTTTCTAGTTTTTTTACCAAAAATATTTTCTTAAACAAAGGTTTTCATGCGTGCACTGGGGCTCAAAATTTGTCTTGTTAAATCCTTATATTCTCCGAGGTTCTACTATATGTATAAATACTCTAATAAAACTTTAAATTTAATTGATTGTGACCAAGAAATTACCGGCTTCGTTTAGTGGGTCAAAAATGTTGAACTTATCAATTTATCCAATAAATTATTAGGGGACATCCAATGACAATGAGATCATAGGTAATGTTAAGGTTGGGCATTGAGACGCTAAACTCTTATCTAAAGACATTGTAATAGTGAATGGGGACAAGGAGAAAATTGGTGAATTTTCAACAACTAAAGGGAAAAAAAAGGTAAATGGGAAGCCCAATGACTTCAAAGGTATTATATAAAGCAAAGTGTCAAAAAAAGTTAATTTTAAAGTATTTGATAATTAAAAAATAAAATTATATCAAAATACTATTTTTTTAACAAATTAATATAAATTAGATATTTACTTTGATAATATCATGATTTTTTAATTTGTTAATATAGATAATATATAATTATTAATTAGTATTTTAACTTGTGTTGTAACACTTCGTAGATTTGACATGTTAACGACTGCGTTACATCATACTTCACACGGTGACACTTTTTTCAACTTCTCGTTAATCATAACCCTTTACTAGTTAGAACCACTCTAAGAGTAGTCCTTTATGTGATGTTCATCCGCCTTTAGGAGTAACAACTATCCCCACAAACCAACACCTAACCATAATCGACATAAGTTTCAACTAGTAAAGCATGGAGTTGGGGGCCACAATCCCTAATTGAGTGTGATAAAGGTGCATAGTATTTGAATGGTAAGCGACAAACTAATTTCATTTAAGGTTTGGTTAATACATACTAATATCATAGTAGCTCACATCCAAGTTGTTCTATTCCTAATAGTAGTATTGGACCTTCCTAGTTTAAGTGGTGATACCTAAGAAACCATCCTAAGTTGCTTATTGTGTTGTTGTAGACCTCCGGAGTTGATAAATGTGGGGGGATGCACATAGTTGTTGAGTTTTGTATATGTGTTGTTAAAGTTATTAAGTTGTAACACTATGTTAGTACCTTATATATGTTGCATATTGTGTGGTAAATATGTTGTTTCGTGTTGCTATGTTGTTTTATGGCTTTCAAAACTCTAAGGATTTATCAATTCTTATGACTTTAGTTGTTTAGAAGTGTTTGGTGTTGAGGTCAAAGTTAAAGAAGAATAAGGGATATTATATTAGGTGATGGAAACACCATGGTGAATTGGAGTCCAAGGAAGCCTCCAAGCTCTTCAATCTTCTTCCATGGTTCAAAACATCAAAGAAGTAAGCTAAAAATGGAGATACAAGAGAGTAAAGGGCACACCACTTCTCAAGAGAGAAGATGAGCAAGAAAGGTTGCACTAGGCACAAGGAGAATTTCCTTGATGGAAATGCTTAAGGAAAAAATTATACCAAGAGACTCTGAGAGAGATTTGAGAAAGAACTCTAAAATCTAATTCTCATATCATCAAAAAAAAATGACGGATTACAAAGGGTAAAGTACTTATATAGAGCTAGGAAGCTTATGAAGCAATCTAGGCAACCAAGGTTAAGAAATAACCATGGTTGCATCACAAAGGGTAAGTTTAGGAGCCAAATTCAAGATTCAAATTTGGATGTCCAACTTTCACCATGTGCTTCTAGACCTAAAATGCAAAATAGCCAATGAGAATAGGCCATGTGGCAAGCAAGTTAAGTATGACTTAATTTTTGATGCCATGTGATTAACCAATTGAATTTGAATTTTAGCTACACCATGTGTGCCTACTTGGATGGCCATGTGTGTATTCAAATTCAAATCAATTGTAATCATAAGCCCAAAATTAAATTACACTACACTAGGCTTATCCAGTACACTTAAAGGAAAAATTACAATAAACTCTCTATTCTACTTGGTTCAAAATATAAGGCAAATTAAAGAAACTATATACAAACATATAGTAGGCATTGGACTTACATATTTAGTAACCTTTAAAAAAAACAAACAACATTATATAAGATGGAAACATATGGATTAAATAATTTAGAAAAACAGAAAAGTAAAACATCTAAAAAGAAATATAAATAATACAAAAGGTGTGTCTCATCCCTACATTATCATGAACACTATTAAAAAACAAACAACATTATATAAGATGGAAACAAATGGATTAAATAATTTAGAAAAATAAAAAAGTAAAACTTCTAAAAAGAAATAAAAATAATACAAAAGGTAGAAAAGTTGAAAAGTAAAACATCTAAAAAGAAATAGAAATAATACAAATGGTATGTCTCACCCCTAATTTATCATGAATACTATTAAAAAACAAACAACATTATATAAGATGGAAACAGATGGATTGAATAATTTAGAAAAATAAAAAAGTAAAATATCTAAAAGAAATAGAAATAATACAAAAGGTGGAAAAATAGAAAAGTAAAACATATCTAAAAGGAAATAGAAATATTACAAAAGGTATGTCTCATCCCTAATTTATCATGAATACTATTATAAGAAAACAAAAAATATTATATAAGATGGAAACATTTGGATTAAATAATTTAGAAAAATAGAAAAGTAAAACATCTAAAAGAAATAGAAATAATACAAAAGATAGAAAAATAGAAAAGTTAAACATCTAAAAAGAAATAGAAATAATACAAAAGATAGAAAAATAGAAAAGTAAAACATCTATAAAAAAATAGAAATAATACAAAAGGTATGTCTCATCCCTAATTTATCATGAATATTATTAAAAAAAACAACATTATATAAGATGGAAACATATGGAATTAAATAATTTAGAAAAATAGAAAAATAAAACATCTAAAAAGAAATAAAAATAATACAAAAGATATGTCTCATCCCTAATTTATCATGAATACTATTAAAAAAAACAAACAACATTATATAAGATGGAAACAAATGGATTAAATAATTTAGAAAAATAGAAAAGTAAAACATCTAAAAAAAAATAGAAATAATTCAAAAGGTAGAAAAATAGAAAAGTAAACTATCTAAAAAGAAATAGAAATAATACAAAGGGTATGTTTCATCCCTAATTTATCATGAATACTATTAAAAAAAACACAAACAACATTATGTAAGATGGAAACATATGGATTAAATAATTTAGAAAAATAGAAAAGTAAAACATATCTAAAAAGAAATAAAAATAATACAAAAGTATGTCTCATCCCTAATTTATCATGAATACTATTAAAAAACAAACAACATTATATAAGATGGAAACAGATAAAATAAATAATTTAAATAAAATAGAAAAGTAAAATATCTAAAGAGAAATAGAAATATTACAAAAGGTAGAAAAATAGAAAAGTAAAACATCTAAAAAGAAATAGAAATAATATAAAACGTATGTCTCATCCCTAATTTATCGTGAATACTATTAAAAAAAATAAACAAATTTATATAATATGGAAACATATAGATTAAATAATTTAAAAAAAAATAGAAAAGTAAAACATCTAAAAAAAATAGAAATAATATAAAAGGTATGTCTCATCCCTAATTCATCATGAATACTATTAAAAAACAAATAACATTATATAAGATGGAAACAAATGAATTAAATAATTTAGAAAAATAGAAAAGAAAAACATCTAAAAAAATAGAAATAATATAAAAGGTAGAAAAATAAAAAAGTAAAACATCTATAAAAAAAATAGAAACAATACAAAAGGTATGTCTAATCTCTAATTTATCATGAATACTATTAAATAATAATTAATATTATATAAGATAAAAGTAGATAGATTAAATAATTTAGAAAAAAAATAAAAAAGTAAGGCATCTAAGAAAAATTAGAAATAATACAAAAGTTATGAAATAATAAAAGTATTTTTTCACAGGACAGATTCTTGTCTCACTTCTTTTGATTTAATTAATCAAATCCTTTTTCCTATGTACAACCAAATCACTAAATAGGAAATGATTATTATCTATTTCAGCTGGTTCCAGATTGGAAATTGAATCTGAAATTGATTTTTCATGCGAAACTGTCATTTCAGGATTAATTATGGTCGATTTGTTTTTTTTTTCTTTTTTCTTTTTTGGGTGAAAATTAATTGTGTCTGTAGTCGCATGCTTCACTGTTGGTGGTGTGTGCCAAGCATATAAATAAATAGAGTATAGAAAATATAAACCAGCCACCACAAACAGTATCTAAAGTGCCACAAGCCCATACGAACATAAGAATGGCTCGTTCCCTTGTCTCAATGATTTTGATCAAAGCTATCTTTGCAGCCATGATTATTGTTCTATTTTCTCAAGGTATGTACACAAATAAGTTTCTACTATGTGAAGTTGAGTTTCATCTATTTTATTATATTTATTTTAGATAATATATATGAAAGTGGTTTATGAAATTATAACAATATTTGTGAAACAACAAAGCGTCAACTATTTTAGTGTTTTACTTTTATAATTTTAAAATTAAAAACATATCATTCAGGAACAGGAGAAATCAAAACAATTCTTATCAAAGGTGTATATTAGATTAAGATTTGTTGGTCTGAAATTTTTTTTAGTATTGTGTCGGCTAGCACAACAGTTATTTCTACTTCAGCAATTTAATGAAGGAATTCTGTCCATTGATTAGGTCCTTAGTTTACTCTAAAGAACTTCTTAATAGTTGTAATTAACTCAAGACTGATAGAAGGAAGGTTTTTGAAAGTAAAATTTGAATGTAATAAACAACTAAAAATAGGTGATAAAATTGTAAATTAAAGCTTTAAAGAAAAGCTAGCTAGTAAATTAAAGGAAGCATAAAAATGACAGAAAAATATGTAAATTGATAGATTTGGTTGTGGACCTCGCATACACCAATTGTCATTGCATCATTGTAATTGTTCAGATTTATAACAGTCGACCAGTTTCTCATAATGGGTTCTTTCATTTTGGGTTAAGTATAATAAAATAGGTTACTTCAGTTCGTTTAAGTTTGTCCAGCTGTCAGCCTGACCACAAAAATTGGTTTTGTGGATTGGACATCTTAATCTTCTTTGCCTAAGGATTATTTTACAATTATATTATAAATTAAATAAAATTTTATTACATTCATAATATGTATAATTAATTTTATAAACAATATTTTAAATATTTTTTATAGATTAATAAAATGTTATTGGAAGTATGAATGACAAGATGTCTCGTGTTTTATATTAGTATCGTTAATCTATGTCCCGTCACTTAGGATTAATGTTCTAGCTTAAAGTACCAAATTTTCAAACTTTAAATATGGATAATAATATTTTACTTCTAATTTATAAATATGGTTGATTAAATATTGTATTAAATAAAAATATTCTAAGTTGGGCCAACACTTACCTTACAAGTTGATTTATATAGTTGAGTGTTAGGCTTATAATCTACAATCTTAGAATTTAAAAGATTATGTATCACATGTTGGAGGCATGGAAACAAATGTTTCGGATGAATTCATTGTGAGCATTTGAAAGTTGAAAAATTATTGATAGAATTTATAGTAATTTCTTTAATTTTTTTCGCAAAAAATATTCTTGCAAATTTCTTGCGAAAAAATTCGCAGAAAACTTTCCAGCGAATTTTATTTTTTGCAGAAACTTTCTTGCAAATATTTTTTTGCAGGAAACTTCCTTGTGAATTTTTTTCGCAAGAAATTTCGCAGGAAAATTTCCTGCAAATTTTAAAATTCTCAAAAAATTATTATCCACGAATTTATTACCTTCATATAAAATTTCGCAATAAAATTTTCAGGAACAACATTTCCTACGAATTTTTATGAAAAATTTGCAAGAAAAGTCGCATGTAATAAAAGAAATTCTAATAGTGTTAGTTCCGTTAATTAGCTCCAAAGCTTACATGTTTACCAACGTTAGGTCTTAAGTTTGATAGAAAAACAATTTTATAACTTTAACGCAGTCAAGGTCTCAAGGGAGACTAATTTGTAATGATTTGTCATGATCATTACACTTATAGATCAATTACTTCTAGTAGCGAAAATACAACTATTACTTAGAATTATATACTCATAATATCAGGATATGTACATTATGACAAGTATATGTGTAGGTACAACTAAAACAACAACACAAGTATATGTATAATAATTTGATAGACAGAATATAAAACTAAGTTGTTGGTCAAGCAACATCTATATAGACCAACACAAGTAGTCGACGTCGTCAACTACATCACTAACAACATGGCCTCATTGCAGCTCCAAAAGCTCTCTCCAACTAACCCTATCATACTCGCATGAAAATCATGATCATCGTAGTCCAAACCACATGGAAAACACACAAGGGTAAGTTAGATTTAAAAACATACAAGTATAGGAAGGAGCATTTATACTACTCACCAACATGTAAACCAACCAAAGATACACCCATATGGTCTACAACATTCACCATAATAATAACATACCTCAAGATATTCACATCGTGCATATGAACACTATTAACTCATGCCACATCATATGCAAACACCACATCTAATGCATCGTCACACATTCATCTATGGAGATTTCTTAACCATATGAGTAGTTTAAGTGACTCCACCCTACTGAATCAACCCAATCATTTTTGCACCAAAAGCACTATCTTGATTATAGCAAAATAGGATATCAATCCCTCCTCTAGTTTCTTGGGTTTTGTCATTCATATTAGGAAAATTCAGTTCCACCATTAGGAGTAGTACAACTTGGTATAGGCGTACCTGAAGTTAGCCCACTAGTCATCCTTAAGGAACCATGTAACCTTTCTAGGTACTTGGTTAAGGCTAGGGTTGCAGCTTTCGGCCTTCTTTCTTACTCAATCACTAACTAAGGATATAGAAGAGACATCAACATCTCAAAATCCATTCCAAGAGACACACCTACTCAAGGAGCATTTCCTAACAGTGACCTACCTGAGCACTCCTCCAAGATTCCATATGTGGGATCTTCAGTTTTACAAAATAATTTCCTCTTCTCAAGTCCTAAGTAAGCCAACATGCCTTGATGCCATACCACATTTTTATCATCAACACCTTAACATACACCATCTATATACATATTACCCCAATTCAATGCATATATAAAGATCAAGTCATACCATCATACATAGCATATCAATACTAATCAACAAGATTAGAAATAATAGCAAGATTCAGAAATGTAATTCACACCAAATTTACTTATTTGTTGTTCTTCACTACACAAATTTGGAACACCAAATAATATACTAGTTGAATTGGAATAACATATTCATCGCCAACATCAAATTAACATATACTACAAGAAATGTTACATACAGTGACATACAAAAAATGTTCGTATAAGTATAATATATATATATATATATATATATATAT